TATATGTCAGTTTTCATCTTAATGTTCCTCATCAGTCATTAAAGAGAATGAAGGAAAACACCAACCTATTTGTTCCTCTGTATCTTCATCTTTTATTCTGCAGGGTTCTTCCTTAATCTCCATCTTTACAATAGTATGTCCGTAGTTTCTCCTGGAGTCATTCCTCCTGCTTGCTTCTTCTTCTCCTGTGGGAAGATGGGAATATTCCCCAGCATTTAAACTCATAGACATAATAAATACATAGACGCCCTATTGGCCGCTGGAGCATACATCAATGGCACCGCCATATTGCGGAGGGCAACTTTCCCATACTTCTCATAACGAGAATTGAGAAAAATGCCTGTTTCGTGTGCTGCTTGGGGCTGTACAAATCACCACACAACTGAAAACTGGTCTCGAGGAATTATCTTTCACAAGCAAGACTGAACATTTGTTTCTGTTTGTATTTGGTCAAGATATAATTAGTTATAGTAACGTTCAAAGGAGAAAGGCTGCGAAATGTAAAAATACTACCGTTATTGTGTCACGAAATGTAGTTTTAATAGTTTTTCAGTCGACAATGTAGTTGTTTAAAGCCCAAATCTGTGGTTTATTTATAAAGATAGCGCCTATTTAAAAAATGTATCTGACGTTTTCGGAGTTGTGAGATCCGGGCGCTCAGCGCTCATGTACCCCGCCTGGAACAGCCTTACCTCGGCTAGTGCTTTTGATGTTTGCCGCTGGCTCTGATGTCTCTAGTCTAGTGGTTAAACATGAGATATAATTCGTCTTGTGTAACTTATATCTAACGGGCGATCTTTGGTCTCACAAAAAGAGACAGGGCTGTGATGTGACATTTTATTTTATATAGCCTATGTAGGAATATTTTAAAATATAAATAATTTTATACATTCTCTTCATTGTATGTAGGTACTTATGATATTATATAATTATACTATAAATTACAATTTCATTTGCTGTATACTGTTTTTTTTATTGACTAAACTATTTACTATTACTTCCCACTTTATCTTATATTTACTATTTGCATTGCACTGTAGTTGTACCATATCATATATTACCATAAAGGATCCAGTCGGGTCAATCACAGAAAATGCTTTCCCCACAAAAAGAAAACTTTATTTAATTTAATGTGAAAATAAATTATATCTCAGTATTGGGATCTTCACAATTCTTATCCAAGAATAAAAAGCCAGATACATGACAAGCCTGAGCTTTGACAATTCGTTATTAAAAAAATATATTTTATAAGTCTAACTATCGAGATTTTAAATAACTAGAAATGGAGCTTATTGTACACCACGTACAAACCACTGAAATCGTTTGATAAATGTTTTTTATTTATTTTTTTTTTTTAGAAAAACCGCAGCTCACCGTTTACTTGCATGTGATTACAGTCAAAGTCCTTTTAGGCAAGTCATGCCACTCGGCCGCCATCTTGGCAACGCCTCCGGGCAGCTATTTCGGACTAACAAGACCAGGCTCCTATCTAAATGAATGGGCAGAGAGTCAGAACTGCACTTTCACTGGTCACCGGGACATAAAAACTGCATGTATAGAAACAGCAGTAAAATATGATAAAAATCGCTGAAAAAGTTTGATGACTTTGCCCCAAAATAAGGTTTAAAACGCCTTTTCCCCCACAGGTTATACTTTACTACGCATGCGCAAGGGTTCTCTCCCTCTGACGTGCGCGTGCTGCACGGTTTGAAACACAGTATGTGTGAGCTCTCGCTCGCTCGCTCTAGTTTCCGGGAGATTTGAACTAATTTTGGGCATCAGGGAGCCGCTATAAATATGCGGTAGACACTTGGGATGTCTGATATTTACACAACGCACACATACACTGCATATCAAATCTGCCGCCTTTTCAAACAGTAACGTATTTTCCACTGTCGCAAACCTCAACTGTGCGCATGCGTCAGTGGAACCAGACGATAGGCTTAAATGTTTCCCGGCTTGACTGTTAAAGGCAGACGATTGGCTTTCCAGCGGGAGGGGCGGCACATGTGCATACAACCGCCATCTTTGGCGTTACGGGTTTTCCCTATGTAGTTGTATTGAGGATTGAGTAAGTGGCATGTCTCTATATAAATAGTCTCTGTTACAGTGCAGTCTTGCCCTCCGCAAAATGGCGGACCCGTTGACGTATCGCAGCAACGTTCCAAAGCGGCCAATAGGGCGTCTATGTATTTATTATGTCTATGTTTAAACTCTCATGAACAGCTGTGGGAGCTTCACTGACTGACTTCTTCTTCTTCTTTGGATTTATTGGCGGGTCACATACCAACTTTATGGTGCATACCGCCACCACCTGTGCTGGAGTGTGAAGTGATTTCAGTCTAGATATATGTTAAAAGATGTCTATATTCTATTCCTAAGACCACTATGCTTAATGAATTTTAAAACTGACCTTATAATTTCCCCGGATCCTTGTTTTGTGTTTAATATGTTATTGATTGTAAATTCTTTGCATCCCATTTTCTGCAGCTCTCTTATTAACTCATTCCTTTCCTGTTCATACCTAGGACAAAATAACAACACATGCTCAACTGTTTCCTTTACTTGGCATATTTAGCATTATCCTGTATCATGTTTCCCTATAATATGAAGTGTAGAATTAAGTTGTGTATGTCCCATCCTTAGCTTTGTTAAAATAACCTGATCATCTCTATTTAAATTTTGTGTCAATATACTTTGTCTTACAGTATTATGTATATTGTAAAAATGTCTTCCTGTTGTACATTCCTCCAATTTCTTTGCCATTTCTGGTTGCAAGCTTCTTTAATGATACTTTTTCCTTCCATCCTACGTATTGCAACTGTAATAGGGATGTTTAGCCATTTTATCATATCTTTCATTACCTGGTATCAGCATGTGCTGGTACCCAAACAAATTTAATTATTGTTCCAGCTTGCCCTAATCTATACAAAATATTCAATATTTCTATATAGATATCACATCTAACTGTTTGATATGTTTGTAGGCTTATAAGTGATTGAATCTGAACATATCACAACTTTATTTGGCATCACTTCTTCCACCCAACTAAGTGCCATCTGAATTGCCACCAATTCTGCGGTATACACTGAAGTCTCATCTGCTAATCTCCCATATTTTTCTATTTTAAATTCTGGAACATAATTTGATCCAGTGCGACCTATCTCTGAGTTTGTTCCATCTTTGTATATTGGAAGAAATGCATAATAAACTGTTCTGATATATTTAATTGTATAGCTCTTAGCTTCACTGACTGAAGGAGTGAATTGTGGTCGTTGTTGCTCATTTAGCAGATGATCATCACACTTACAATCACTCGAGATTATCCAGGTGCAAATCGTCGTTTAGAAACAATGCAATGATTACTGAATTTACACTTTTGTATCATATCAAGCCCAAAGACAAATTGTAAATTCAGTAATCATGGAATTTGACTGTTAAGTGGTGATGCACAAGTATTGTCATTCATTTCATCTTACATTGAGTGTAGAATTGATGTTACAAAGAAAAAACAAACTTGTGCTAATTGAGTGACTTAAAGGCACACTGTGGAACTTTTCAACCTTTATAATATATTACCAAAACCCATTGAGATGGTACATCGACTTACAATAGGTTGAATGACACGTCAGCCGAAGCCTGAAGGTGTCTGTATCGCTTTTCCTAGCACTATGTAACTTCGGGGTTCGGGTAGGAACCCGAGCACAAAAAGAACTACAAAATTCGACCGCTTTACGGCATACGTCACTTCCCCCACCACCCACAACTTCCTCAGATTCTGACGTGAGTGCTCAACTCGCGTTTGATTGCCGTCTGTATGTTTTCGTCATGGCCGAACCAACAGCTACAAGGAAGAAGGCAAAGGTTTTGTCAGAGGACACTAAAAAAAAGAAAAAGGCATAGTGACAAATGAAAAGCCAGGACGAGGATCACCATTGGTCCAGCGTTCGCTCGCTGGCGTGAGCTACAGGAGGAGGAGGGGTGCCCGACCGATGCTGACGCTTGCCTGCACACAAATGCCGTTTCCAAGGTGACACAGATACATCAAATAAGCAGTGTAGTATTTTCTGGTATTCCGGCCACAGCCGATGGTGTAATGAGTGTAATAAAATGCCCACAGCCCATTGTTCATTTCTACACACAAACACAGCCCGCCACAGTGCAGGGCTCGCACAAATAAAATCGACTCATGTCAAATGTACATTAAATGTAGTGAACGTTCCCACGACTCAGTGCCCACAAACACTACACACAACATGTCCCACGGTTTCTGTAAAACGAAACCAACACACATAAGTTACAGTCAGCTCAGGCCGACGGTGATTTTAGTGCAGTAAATGTGCCCGGCCCGCCGTCACGCGCCCACATTCACTCAGACATGTTAGCACTAACCCCCACGGGGCTCGCCCCGCTCGCTCTCTCTCAGCAGACTGCTATAAGGGAATCGAGCGCGGCCAGGCTGCCCGCCTCAAACACTGCAAGCACACACAATCTAAAGACACGGGAAGCTGACCCACTGTCTATGGGCGGACCGGTTGACTTTTTGTTGACTTTTGCGACAGTGCTGCGGAGCTTGTGGCCTCTAGGGACGCTAGACGTGAAAGTTACAGGTCGAGCGCCACTAGTGGCCAAAAGTTCCGCAGTGTGCCTTTAAGTAATTAACACATTTCCTTGAGTAGCCATCAAGGTAAACCCACATGTAAAGTCTGAGCCTGTGTGTGGGGATGTGTACAAACAGATATTTTAAGTTTGAATCTCAAAATGATCTATTATGGTGAAAGTGAACAGCTGTGTCACCTATAAGATGTTATTTCTAAATCAATACTTAATTATTCCAAATCAAACATGTTTGGGAGCTATAAATAAATGTATTCATATCAACCAAGATAGCAAGAGATTATCGTGGTTGTTTTATATCTGGGAGTTTAACAGAGTTTAATATGTTTTCCGCCAGTAGAGGCGCTCGAGCAACCGAAGCAATGACACACATCCGAGTCTAGGAGAAGAAGAGAAGTGAGCGAGGGAAGGGAACATAAACATGAGAAGTGAAACACAGCCGTTCATTCTGCTCTAAATCTGCCGTTTTCAGACTGTGAGTACATTCATTTTATCATTTATTAAGAGAAATCTAAACGACTTCTAAATCTAAAAGATATGGTTAATTTTAGTGAATCCAACCAACCGGAGTGTTTAACCTTGAGTCCGAATCAGATCTTGAATCCGAAGTTGAGGCACTTACTTTCATTATGTTTGACAAGTGAATCCCTTACGAAAATGAACCATGGGTTTACTACAAATAAAACAAAAACATGGTTACTATAGTTAAAGCCATTAACGTTACCATAGTTTAACCGTTGTATTTGCAGTTAAAACTGGTTATATAAATGGCAATCAATCTGCCAAAATGGTTACTACACTTTAACTATACAAGTCATGGTTAATTTTCGGCAATGTTGTAAATATAACTAACCATAAGCTCATCATTGACTAGTTAACTGACAAAGTGTAAAGATTTTGAGTTGTGTATTGTAATAAATTAATTAAACCTGGTGTAAACACAAATTGTAGCAGAACATTTTACATTATTTTTCTAACTGTGCTGCTAAACATGTATGCTACATTTTTTAGTTACACAAAAGTTTGCCTTCAACTCCTTTTTGATCCAATAATTGGTTCAAAATAACAGCGTAATCCTTACAGTAAAACCTCAAATTATGAAATTGTTTCTAAATGGCTATTAGAGCAAAACGCTCAAAGCTGAATAATCTCGAGTGATTGTAAGTGTGATGATCATCTGCTAAATGAGCAACAACGACCACAATTCACTCCTTCAGTCAGTGAAGCTCCCACAGCCGTTCATGAGAGTTTAAATGCTGGGGAATATTCCCATCTTCCCACAGGAGAAGAAGAAGCAAGCAGGAGGAATTACTCCGGGAGAAACTACGGACATACTATTGTAAAGATGGAGATTAAGGAAGAACCCTGCAGAATAAAAGATGAAGATACAGAGGAACAAATAGGTTGGTGTTTTCCTTCATTCTCTTTAATGACTGATGATGAACATTAAGATGAAAACTGACATATAACAATAACATCTAAAACTAGATACTAGTAGACTCAGGAGTAAACTGGATTTGTGCTAAATTGAGATTTTGAACAATGTTTATTTTTGTTTCTCATGTATCCTTTAATTGAATTATGGGAATTTAATGTGTTTATTTTAGACCTGATGGAAGTGAATGACGACAAACTGCATCAGTTTAAAAAAACGCATTATTTCACAAATGAAGATGGAAATGCAGTCGTTTCAAAGACTGAAGAGAATTTCACACAGAAACAAGCTGGAAAATCTGGAGTCGAAGGATCTTTAACCTGTTCTGAGTGTGGAAAGAGTTTCGTATCTAAATCAACCCTGAACAAACACATGAAGATTCACACTGGAGAAAAGCCTTATACATGCTCTCAGTGTGGAAAGAGTTTCATAGATAAAACAAACCTTAACCAACACATGAAAATTCACACTGGAGAAAAGCCTTATACATGCTCTCAGTGTGGAAAGATTTTCAGTCAAAAAGGACACCTTAAGACACACATGAGAATTCACACTGGAGAAAAACCGTACACATGCTCTCAGTGTGGAAAGAGTTTCAGTCATAAACATACTCTCAATGATCATCTGCGCCGTCACTCTGGAGTGAGATCATTCAGCTGTGATCAGTGTGATAAAACATTTGCTTTTGAATCAAGCTTAAGAAAACACCTTAATCTCCATTCTGCTGTGAAGCCTCACTTTTGTTCTGTATGTGGAAAGAGTTTTTTACATCTTGGATCTTTAAAAGTGCATGAGCGTATTCATACTGGTGTGAGACCTTATGTGTGCTCTCACTGTGGAAAGACCTTCACTTCATCCAACAACTTAAAATCACACCAGAAAGTTTATACTGGCGAGAAGCCGCACAAGTGTTCACACTGTGAAAAGAGTTTTGCTTTCTCAGGAAACCTGAAAGTTCATGAGAGAGTTCATACTGGAGAGAAACCGCACCAGTGCTCTTCATGTGGGAAGAGTTTCACCCAATTAGCTACTCTACTGAAACATAAGAAAATGCATTGGCTGAAGGTGTCTAAGTGAGCAAAGTTCACTTCCATAACTTGTAAATAAGCAAATCATGGAATTACATTTAATACGGTAATTTAAAGGTGGGGTAGGTAAAATTGTTTTGTCCAAATTTGTTTAAACTGTCTTTATATACCAATACATAATTAAAATGTAAGTACTCTGACAAAGAGATTATAAAAATCGAGTGTCTGTAGTCCTCTCAGGGCTGCAATAAACACAGCTACTTATCTCCATTCGGGACGAATGAAATGATTGGCTGGGGCGACTGTCACTCTCCCTCGCTACCATGACTAACACCCCGCGGTTACAGGAGGCGCCCACATGTGCGCGCGCGTTTGACTCGGAAGAGGTGAAGAGGCACTGAAGCTAGTAATAATAACAATTATGGCAGAGAAAGAGCAGTCACAATTCTCAGTACCTGCATATACAGTCAGCGAAACAAGTAAAAAAAGGAAGATAGTATTCGAAAAGGCTATGATCAAAAAGTCTTCGGATAAATCAATCAACCCCGGACCTGTCCTTGAGCCGACGATGCGGTATGCGACTTGTCTCCGGAGTGTTAGTCCTCATCAGAGTCAACTGTGCTTTCATCGTGGAAGCTCTTACATGCAAAACACCGTATATGTTGGAAAACGTGTATCAATGCAACCTGTTTTTTTTTTAGCTTTGCCTTATGTTACCAGCTCGTAACCGATGAAAACTCAATATATTTTAAACTGTACCAGTATTGATATGCTAGCTTGATAGTGAGTACTAACCACCATGTTAGTTGTTTATATTTATAATGATAAAGTTAGGTATTTTATTACATGTGATTCTGACATGATGTCACTACATGCACTGCGCTCCTCTCCGCTCGCGCTGGTAAACGCGTCCTCCAGCTGATGTGTTTCGCGTTCATGTGTTTTGGGGGCGTGGCTTTGGTAGGAGCCCAGACCGGAGGGGGTAGGAGTGAATGGAATAAGTAGCTGTTTATTGCAGCACTGAGAAGACTACAGACACTCGATTTTTATACTTTCTTTTTCAGAGTACTTACATTTTAATTATGTATTGGTATATAAAGACAATTTAAACAAATTTGGAAACAAGTTTTTTTTTTAGACAAATATGACTTACCCCACCTTTAATCTAAAATTAGTATTGAAGTTTGATTGTTTGACAAGGGGAACTGGTTTAAATGGTTGTGAACTGCATTGTAAGTGTTGCATGTGTTGTTCTTCCGACACCTGTATTGATCCTCTGTTGTGTTGCACATGCGCAGTAAACACTGAGTGTTACTGTATACAAGATGAACTGAACAGTAAAGCAACAATGTGAAAATACTCGTGTCAGTGTCATCGCTCAAGCAGTGCATGGTCATCTCATACAGATGGAACAAGAATAATAGTTCAGAAAACTTTCATTATTTTCATTGAATTTCATCATGCGTGCGTGCGTATTACACGCCAAAAAGTGCGTATCATATACACGCAAAAACTGCATATCATATACACGCAAAAACTATTTTTGCCGTATAAATGGCACGAGAAATTAAATGTGTGGTATACACACTTCCATGAGATCTGGCTGTAATTTCCATTGTAAAAATCATTAGTTATTAATTTAGTTCATTTATCTATGCAGTCGCTCTGGAGTCACTTTTGGAATGGGACTTTTCAAATATTCAAAATATGCTGGAAAACCAAAAAATGTAAATGTATTTTTCTTAAGAACAGTGGGCAGTTTAACTCATAGGCATAAATACACGCCCTACTGGCTGCTGGAGCGTACATCAATGGTGCCACCATATTGCGGAGGGCAACTTTCCCATACTTCTCATAAAGAGGATTGAGAAAAATGCCTGTTTCGTGTGTTGCTTGGGGCTGTACAAATCGCCACACAATTGAAAGCAGGTCTCGAGGAATTATCTTTCACAAGCAAGACTGAACATTTGTTTCTGGTTGTATTTGGCCATGATATATAATCGGTAATAGTAACGTTCAAAGGGGAAAGGCTGCGAAATTTTAAAATACTACTGTTATTGTGTCACGAAATGTAGTTTTAATAGTTTTTCAGTCGACAATGTAGTTGTTTAAAGCTCAAATCTGTGGTTTATTTATAAAGATAGCACCTATTTAAAAATTTGATCTGACGTTTTCGTTGTGAGATCCAGGGATCACCGGGCGCTCAGCGCTCATGTTCCCCGCCTGGAACAGCCTCACCTCGGCTAGTGCTTCTGACGTTTGCTGCTGGCTCTGATGTCTCTAGTCTAAGTGGTTAAACATGAGATATAATTCGTCTTGTGTATATCTAACGGGCGATCTTTGGTCTCACAAAAAGAGACAGGGTTGTGACATTTTATTATAGCCTATGTAGGAATATTTTAAAATATATAAATTATTTTATTCTCTTCACTGTATGTAGGCCTACATAAAATGGAGGGTGCAGTGGCAAAACTCGCCGCTCGGTTGCTAGGATAGTTGCTACAATGTTGTACATGATTGCATAGAGCCAAAAACAATGTCTTAACGATGTTGTGGAGCTGCAATATGGCTGCTAGGTAGCTTTAAACGGTTGCTAGTGTGGTTACACAGTTCCATGTTGTTCTGGATGAACACTATACTGTATATATAATTATCATAGGATTGGCAAAGGAGAAAATATAAATGAACCATGATGAGAAATACATTTGTTACTGTATTTATTATTCTTTGTTAATAAAAATACAGCTGTTCGTTGTTTGTTCATATTACTTCACAGTGCATTAGGCTAACTAATGTTAACAAATAGAACTTTTAATTGTAATAAGGCTACTAGTAAATAGTGAAATTAACATTACCAAAGATTAATAAATGCTATTTATTTATAAAGATTAAGAAGTGCAGTTTATGAATAGTTAATATTAACTAGTTTGGTGTTATCGATTTGTTATACACCAATTCAGATCTCTTTTGAAGAGACAGATGTTGGACAGATCAGTTATTTTAACCATTTAT